GCTTGCTTCAGTGCTCCAAGTGCACATGCAAGCCCTCGAAACCCGTAGTCCCACGCCGCTGTATTTCTGAACTAATATCTTATAGACTTACTTAACCGAAGCCCCTGTCAGGTGCCCTCATCAAAAGCCTATCCAAGAAACCCAGCCAGGATGAATGCCACAAGAAGCCCGGCGAGGATGAGAACAAACCCAACAAGGCTCACCCCCAAAGTCTATCACAAAGCCAACCCTAAAGGCTAATCCAACCCTATATAAACCCTATGATCGCTATGCCGTAACCCTCTCACCCCTGAACAACCCTGATCAAAGCCTTATAACACATCCCACTGCAGTGTCAGGCACGCCCCAAAGAGAAGACAAGCGAAGAGCTGACCACATCAGAGCCGCAGGATGGCTCGGGTTTTTAGGGGCTTTGGGGTTAACTAGGGTTGAGGGGTGCAGGGCTGCCTCCGTCACTATGTTACCCGGGTTTGTGAAGATTCGTTTATAAACCCCAAGAAACCAAGCCAGGATGAATGCCACAAGAAGCCCGGCGAGGATGAGAACAAACCCAACAAGGCTCACCCCCAAAGTCTATCACAAAGCCAACCCTAAAGGCTAATCCAACCCTATATAAACCCTATGATCGCTATGCCGTAACCCTCTCACCCCTAAACAACCCTGAAGCCTTATAACACATCCCACTGCAGTGTCAGGCACGCCCCGAAGAGAAGACAAGCAAAGAGCTGACCACCTCCGAGACGCAGGATGGCTCGGGTTTTTAGGGGCTTTGGGGTTAACTGGGGTTGAGGGGTGCAGGGCTGCCTCCGTCACTATGTTACCCGGGTTTGTCAAGATTCGTTTCCTTGTCTCAGTTTCGAATGCCCATGATGACTCAGGGCTGCTCTGTGCTCAAGTTGACAGGTGCAGGTTGTAGCTCGGCTTTGCCCCTCAGCCGTTCCTGGCATGTCAGATTTGGAAGGGCTCGATGTTTCGTCGCCTGCACCCGTGGATCAGACTGATTCGTCGTCGGCCTCCGAGGGTGCTCAGCACGAGGTTCTGGAGTCCCTTCCGATTCAAGACCGAGTTGGCCACATCGAACGGCTCTTGTTCGAGCATCGTGACACTGCAGACCGCCAGTGGCGAGAGAAGGCCAACAGATTGCAGGAGCAGCTGGACGATGTTTCTGACAGAGTGCTGTGGACCGTGGAGCCGGATTTGAGCAAGTTGTGGTGCTCGGTTCTCGATCAACTCCGGTTGATTCGTGAGGTCAAGGAAGAGCTTCGCGAAGCTAGGGCCTGGCAAAAGAAAGAGTTTGCATCACTGGCAGAACAGCTTCGTGCAGTTCAGTGTGACGTCCAGTTGTTGATGGACACCCGATGGCCAAGGACACCACCTGCAGCTGGAGCCCCAAGGACACCAATTGCAGCTCGAGCCCGCTCCAGGAGCCGCTAGGGCTCAGTTTTTCATTGTGCATAAGACATGCGCAGAGCGCAGGACAACGCTGTACAGACAAAAGCCCATGCTTCTTGCAGTCGGTTCAGAGTCTGTTGTGTTTGGGGCTTCATGTCGGCGATTTGTCCCTCTCTTATCTTTGTTGGGGTTGATCGGGGCTTGTATAGGGATCCTAGCACTTATGCTCCTAAATGTATATATATTCCCACTTTGTAGGGTTCTCTGTAACCCTCGATCAACTATCTGCTCCCCAGGAAAACTCTGGCCCAAACCGAACCCTATAAATTTTGGAAGCCGATGCTCCTTTCTACAAAAGCTTGGAGTATGAGACACTTGTTAGGATGACTTGGACCCCGGCCAAAACATGTGCTTACACCTGTGCAGGTTACAACAGACAAGCACGGGTCCGAGGAAGACACAGATGACGAGGAGGGAGACGGCGAAGAACAGGAGGACGAGGAAGAGGAGTACGAGGAACAGGATGACGAGGAACAGGAGGATGAGGAACAAGATGACAAGGAACAGGAGGACGAACAGGAGAAGCAAGCTGCTAGCAAGGCGGACCGTCCAGCAGCCAAGCCAAAGCCTACCCCAAGCCCGAAGGTTGACGTCCCTCGCCACGACATGAATGACACCGCCTGCACTGCGAACCCGGAAGAGGCCCTTGAAAGTATGCTTTCTTGACATATCATAAATATTATTCTTTGCGCGCCCAAATCCTGAACGCGACACGACGCAGGAGAGACCGTGTGCGGGATCCATTCTGGATATGCTGACAAATGGCCCTCCAGTTTCCGTGAAAGGCTCAGTGAGTGAATGGGTTCTGCACTACAGAGAAATGTTTTGATGCAGTCCATCCTGACGAGGAACGGGAGAAGAAACTCCTAGCCTTCATTGCCAACTTGATGACTACCAGGGCCCCATGGAGCCCCGGCTCGGAGGACATCTGTGGTGAGTATGTGCAGTCTGTTGTTCGGGGAATATAAACTAGAAGCTCCCGAAACCCCCAAATCCATTAAACCCCACTATAAAGAGCCCTTAGTAGTGTAGGGTCCCAAATTTGGGGGGGGGGGTTCTACTTTCTAGATCCTTCTGAAAGTCTGGGCAGAAGGGCTCCTAGAAAGCTGCCAGAGATCCCCGGCCTCGACCACAAACACCGAGTGCTTCCCGAGAAAGCTGGACTCAGCCTTCGATGGAAGGTTAGGGGTTTGGGGTTTAGGGGTCTATAGGGTTTAGGGTGGGTTTAGGGTTTATACGGGGCTTCCAGAAGTGTCTTGAGGTTTATAGGGTGTATATATGGGTGTATAATGGGTTTGCTTCAGGGTTTGGAATAGTGGGTTCTATAAGGTACATATGTCCAATAAAAAGGCTAGGGTGGTCATACTTAATATTCAGGGGTGAGAAAACTCTCTATAAACCCAAGAACCCCCCAAATCTTTTTTCTGTACTATGCAGGGTGCAGCTTTTGGGGTGCAGTAGTTGTTGGTGAGTTTGGGGTTTTCGGCACTGGCTTCAGGCGCAGGTGTTCAAACCCGATCACCCTAAACCCTATAAATCCCTGAACCCCGACGCTTAAGTACGGAAGCCCTATAATCGAACCATTAACTATCATTGAAGGAGCCGGCTCCAAAGCGTTTCAAGCCAGAAGTTCATCGTACAGACTCAAGAACATCTTTGGGGTCGCTTTCCACCCTTGCGACTAGCAGCCCCGGTCCTTTGACTTCGACAAGATCAGAGGCGAGCCCAAGCCAGACCCCGCCTCCGCCGGCAGCCCGAGCAGCCCCTGCTCGCCCGACCTCGGCAAAGCCCAGTGCAAAGCCCAGTCAGGAGTCTGTGCAAGCAGGGTTTGCCCAGAATGATCGCGAGCTTCGCCGTAAGAATGAGAAGGAGCCGGCAGGGACAGTGGATGCAGGCAGTGACAGCAGCTCTGAGGGAGAGGACGCTGAAGCCTATAAAAAGCTGTACAACAGGATGGAAGCCAAGTTGCGGCGAATGTGCACGGTAAAGCAAACAGGCAAGTGCGATGCCGACAAAAGCCTCTTGAAGCAGTGGAAAGAGAAAGGCCACAGCAGAACGCAGCTGGTCAAGCTGATGATTGAAGCAGATGGACACAGGGAGCTGCAGTGCTGATGTTGTGCCGTATGTATATATACTAGTCAGTATCGTGTTGATCTGTAAAATACCGCACATTTGCAAGGAGCTCTTCAACCACAAGCTCAAGCTTTACCGCAAGACCGAACAATTCCGGAACTGTTCGACGAAAGGAGGCTACTACTCCGAGGCTGAAATGAAAAAGCCCGTCTCGGAGGGTGGGTTAGCCTACAAAGAGTCATTCGGCCAAATAGACTCAACTCGCCCTGATTGGTAGGTGTAGATTCAATAGTTTTGATAGGAGTTATATAGCCAAGGTCCAAGGTGAAGAAGATTGTCAAGTACTGCGAAGAACATGGACTGACACGGTGCCCTTGCTGGAATGTTCCACAGTGACTGTGCCGCTCCCTGTGACTGCATTGCTGAGGACAAACAAGTACGACACGACCGAAACCGAGTACTGGGTTGACTACAGGACAGAGGGTGTGAGGGGTGTCAACGAGGTTGACGGCATGGAAGAGACGGGCACTGGGCTCACCGACGGCTTCGTGGCACCGGAGCTGGACGAGTGCCCCATGCCTTCGAATCCTCAGCCAGAGGATCTTCCGCTTGGGCTTCACATGGAGCAGGGCAAGAAGGCCGAGCTTCTGTCGTGACTTCTATAGACTTACTGATGTTGGTGTAAGGTTTGAAATTTCTTATAAGCTTCCTGTTGCAATGTCCCCAGGGCATGGCTGCTTTGACAAAGATGCTGGAAGAGGCCGCGGCCACTAGAAAGAAGCTGTCAAAGTTCATCCAGAAGCACTGCGAGCAAACCACGACAAAGTGCAAACCTCATTGTGCTGCCTTTCCTGTGTCCTATGCAAGGATTTCTGCTGTGCTTCCTGTGTCGGCTGCATACTGAGATGTAAGCTACAAGCTCCTCGCACGCCGAGGGAGATCGAGAAGATGAACAAGGTTGTGGATGATTTGGGCGATGCCTATGACGACTTGGCTCCGCTACAAGCCGAAGCAAAGGTGAATGGCTTCGATGCCGGGTGCCTTGCAGATGCAAACAAGGAAAGTATGCTATCTGGGTCGGGTGTTGTAGGGATGATAAACCATATGTTCTTACCCTATAAAGCCCCCCCCCCTGAAGCCCTATTATAAAACCCTCTTGTGGCCTTCTGGTTTGTATATGTATGTGCAAAAAGTAACCCCAAAGTCATCACGCTTGAAAGCCCCATGCTGAACCCTGCAGTCCCTTTATAAAGCCGCCCAACATGCCAATCCCCAAACCCAAGAGCCCTCTAAGAACCGTTCCAAGCCAAATAATTCCTCCCGATAAGGCTTCAGAAGAAGTGCGAGGACAAGTACAAAGACATCAAGAAATTGTGACTTTGTACCGCAATTCTTTGCAGGGATAGGATCTGCTTGTGCGAGGACCCGAGCTTGCTATCCACATAAGGTGTGTTTTGGCTGTCTCTTTCGAGCTGAAGAACAGGTGTCGCAACCACGCCAAAGTTGTGTCTGACAGATCTACCTAAGTTCTATATATGAACTCACGATCCCCTGTGAGGGGAGCCAAGCGGGTGCTAAAGATCGATGACCACAAAGTCGAGCAGCTGAAGGCCAAGCCGGAAAACAAGGCCAAGCCTGGTCCGGTGCCTGGGAAGCGGCCAAAGGCTAAGGCTAAGGCCAAGGCCAAGG